ACTTAAATTGTCCCTCTTCCTTATAGCTTTTCCCCAACAACAGGAAAGACAGTAACATGAAACCTGAGCTGATCTCAGATGGGCAAGAAGTAATAATTCTCTCTTATAATTTTTAAGTTATGATAACATAAGAATTAACAACAGTAAATAAAATTAATCTTAACCTTAAACATATGACCCTTGAAAATTGCTTACATTAAACAGTATTAAGAAGGTAGTAGCAATAAATAGCAAGTTTGGGTTTTTTTAAGTCATTTATAATAATTTTCTCTTCATCAACAGAGAAAAATGTAGATGAGTGGAAGGACAACATTCTCCAAGTAAGATTATCAAATATAAAGTTTGATAGCCAAATATGAATTTGATATTTAAAAGAATGAGAACTGGTTCTTTTGAATTATATTTGCCACTAAAACTTAATATCCATCAAGAAGATATTGGTTACTATAATTAGAATGCTTTTACCCTTGTTACATAAAGTTGTGCCTGGTCAAAAGTTATTTCTATTACTATTTGGTATTTTGATCTAACAAGCAAAAACTACAGACTTGGCAGTGGAACAGACACTGAATTAAAAATCCAAGAATCAAATACCATAAAGAGATTTCCATTTAAGCTCTGAAGAAATCTATAGAAAGGGGAGGGAGACTAGCTGTTCTGTGCAGCTGGAATTTCATTAAGTTTTGCCAACTAATCTGGTGGAGGGGTTAGAAGGGAAAGGAGATGACACAGCAGTGGGATGTTGTTCTGGACACGGAAAGCAGCATGTAACTGCATGTTGGCAACAGTGAGGCAAGCCAACAAAGGGGACAGAGATGTACTTGATGGTGGCACAGAGAGCTAACAGTTGAGTAGGAGGGGTGGCATATGAGACATAGGCTGGGGTGCAGGAGGAAAGATCCCTGGTGGTAAAGTTGAATAGCTTAAATTTAATACAAAATATAGTAAGGGCCCAGTGAACCAAGTCCAGAAGCCCAAGATAACCAACAGCTACAGTATAGCATTTGAAGCTGTCTAAAGGATAGATATTATTCAAGGAACCTTTAAAGAGGAGGTCATTAAAGTTATAAAACATTCAAAATGTAGCCATGTTTTCCTTTTAGAAATAAAAATGCAAACAAGGATGTAGAGGCACCAGAGTTGTTTGTTTGTGTTTTCATGATTTGAATAAATAAGAGGAAAACAAGATGAAGTAAATTCAAGTTTAGGCACTTAAGAAAGTTGAGTGGCATAACCAAACCCTAAGAGAAGAAAGGCAATAAATTAAGGTGAGTAGGACCTTAAGTGAAAATAATAGGGGATAAAAATTTCTTGGCAACTTGTCAGTGATTGAAGTGTTTAGAAAGAAGGGTAAAAATACAATACACAGAAACAGCAAAATAAATAACAAAGACAATGCTTTATTATGTCCTAAAAGCTTCAAAAAAAAAAAATGAATGAGGTAAGACAATGACAGGAATGGGTCATTTAATGTGATAAAATAATTTTCAAAACTACAAATAAATCTCTTAGGATTCTTTTTGTTTAAATGCAATTCTAGTTTATTTAAACAACTGACTCTTATTTTTTCAGAAATAAGTTATATTTCAACTGAAGATATTTTACTAAAAATCCTGAAGAATTCAGCCATTGTTCAGTAATACTTAATAATTTAAAACAAATTTAGTAATGAAGACCTTATTGTGCACTACACTTTTAAATTCATTCCTTGCCTAATGTCATTTAATGCTTAATATATATTGGGCCTTAAGGCTGAGAAACTGGTATTTTAGCAACTCACTACTTTACCACTAGGTGGAGAAAAAACCCAAGTAGTATCTGTTAACCAAAGCTGGTACAAAATCCCAAATACTTGAACTAGAATATCCACCAGGTGTCATCCAAGAGAGAAAAAAAAGAGAGAAACTATTTTCTCCACTCAAATACACAAATTCATAGTTTTATGCATAACGATCAAAAATAAATGGCCTGCCCATTAACTATCCAAGTATTTTGCATATTTATATCCTCATATAATGCCTTGTCAACTAAAATCTAACTAAATAAAATTTCATTTCTTTCAATAAAGAAAAACAGAAAGCCCAATGAGTTTAGTTTGTGACTCATAGGTTCAACCTATCCAAAAACATGACACGAAAGAATCTAAATGTTTTAGACTTGAATAGCCAAAACTCTTCAGTAGTATATTTGTGTGTGTGTGTGTGTGTGTGTACAGATTCATATTTTTTCTTTCTATATTTCTCTAATAAGCAGGTCTGTTGATTGCAAAACTCTAGATAAGTGTATGGTGTTATTCGTCGAATCTCATTGTGATTTTAAGAAGGCAATACGATGTTACCAAAACTTTCACAATATGAACCTGCTTTTAAGATGTATTAGAATTATTATTTTGAACAGTCCAAGACTGAAAATTAGAATTAGAGCCTTGCAGAATTAAGCCCTATTTATAAACCAAATCATGCTTTTTAAAAACTATGGTATGTGCTGCACTAATTTCTAACAAAGATTTTCCGATCTTATTGTAAACATTATGCCAGGCACAACCTTATGTCATGCTGCCTTTTGAAAGGTGGTACTTTTTTAGGCCGAACTCTATTCTTAATCCTCTGGACACGGGAGTTATAATCATGTCATACCCTGCAAATTTAGCTGTAGGTGGTGTCTCAAAAGAGGACTTTTCCTTCCCTCGAGGAAGTGGTCAAGCCTTTCTTCCCCTTAGTGTCATCATGCAAACAACTGGGTTGTTTTTCGTTGCTATCTCATTAAGAGATGGGAAAGAAAGCAGTTGAAGAGAAAGCAAAACCTGATTCAATTATGCTTGCCGGTCTTCCTTGCTCTTTATAGTATTCTAAGATTCCTTTGGCCTCAAATGAGTTCATTTCCACCCTGGCTGTCAAAGCACTTTTCTTTTTTTCTTTTTTTCCTTCCCCAAACAAACCAACAAAAATATCCAAGCCAAGAATGCTCTTGCCGGAGAACATTATATCTTGTCTGGTTTTACTGCGTTTTTCTTTTTGAAATTTCGCTAAGATTGCGCTCAGCCAACAGCCGCTTGCCCAACCGGTTGTTCCCCCTGCCCCCATCTCTCTCTCTTCAACTCATCCCTTTTTTTTCTTTCTCCCTCTTCCCAGCCAGGCACGGCGGTCAAAAAACAAAACACACACAAAAAAAAAACCCTACAAGTGCCCGCACAGCACGCTCGGGGCCGGACCCGCCGCCGTGTATCCTTACTTGGCTCGGCCCAGGCTGCCCCCTCCAGCCCCGGGCCCCGCGGCCCCGCCGCCGCCGCGCGCTCCCCACGGGGGCTCCGGGCGGCGCGTCCGTCCAGGCTTTACGGTAGCCGGCCCGCCAATGGGAGCGCCCCGTGCAGAGCAGTCAGGCTCAGCCTCCCGGCAGCCCCCGGGCCGCCCCCCTCCACCCCGAGCTCACACCTACTGTACCCGCGAGCGAGCGAGCGGGGGAGCGAGCCCGGCGCGGGCGTGGGGAGGGCGGGGCGCGGGGGGCGCGGGGGGCGGGGCGTGGGGGCGCGGGGGGCGGGCCGGCCGGGCGCGCATGCGCGGCGGGGTTGTTTTCCACTCTTATTAAAGTGAGCTGGCAGCCCGGCCGCCCGTCTTTGTACGGAGACCGCGGGGACGGGCGGGAGCCGGGCCGGAGCCTCCTCGCGGCTGCCCTGACTTTTTAAGAAATCTCAATGAACTCTCTGTGAGGGATCGCTGGTCGCGCCGGTGAGCTTTTTTTTGTTTTATTTTTTTCCTCTTTTCTTCCCCCCCCACCTCCACGGCAAAAGACATCGATCAGTGTTCCGTGAAGATCCCATTTTACATGCGATCTTGACTTTTTTTTTTTTTTTTGGTCTTACATTATATTTTTATAGAGATTTTTTTTTTTTTTTTTTTTTTTTTTTGGTTATCAACATGGTGCTGGGAAAGGTGAAGAGCCTGACAATAAGCTTTGACTGTCTCAATGACAGCCACGTCCCCGTGTACTCCAGCGGGGACACGGTCTCAGGAAGGGTGAGTTTAGAAGTGACGGGGGAGATCAGAGTCAGATCCCTGAAGATCCACGCGCGGGGCCACGCCAAGGTGCGCTGGACCGAGTCTCGGAACGCCGGCTCCAACACCGCCTACACGCAGAATTACACGGAGGAAGTGGAGTATTTCAACCATAAAGACATCCTCATCGGACACGAGAGAGGTAAGTTTTTTTTTGTTTTATAGGATTCGGAAATCATGAACCCTTCTAATTTTTTTTTCTGAATCGCTAAGAACCCTCCTCCCGGCATCGCCCACAGCAGTGCGGCGGGAGAGGAGCGGAGTTGGGGGACCTGGGTTCTCCTTGACATTCGCCGGGCGCCGGGCCGCCCAGCCCGCAGGCGTCTATCCGCAAAGTGACTGCAAACTGCACTTTCCTGTCCCCGCCCGCGCCGCCGTCCACGGGCACCGCACTCGCAGTCTGTGGGAGCCCATGCCATCGCCTCGCCAGCACCTTCTCAACCCGATTGCCAGACGCTGCAGCCCAGGGCTGGTGGGTTCTTCTCCTCCTCCTTGGACTCTGCAGCCTTAGGTCTTTCCCAACACGAAGCTCCCGTCAAGAAATGGAATAGCATCTTTAAGATGAATTTAGAGAGGAAATAATAGGTGTATTTCATGTTTTAAAACGTTGACCCGCAAAAGACTTGGAAGAATTGATCCTTGTTCTTTGGCCAAGGGTTCCTGTGGCTTATTTTGACATATGGTATGAGCACCCCACGTGTTGGGTCTCCCATTTGCAGTTCCTTTGGAAATTCATATCATTCATTCTCCATTCTAAAGGACTGCACCCATCCTATTCGTGGGTCTCCAATGGGGCTCAGAGGCCATTTGGGGGGGAACGTGCGTTTCTGAGCATCACGCCCAACTTTGAAACGTGCACCTTCAATGAGAGTGCCCACGCTGGTCAGAGGAAACGGGAAAGTGTTCATTCGGCGCGTTGGTTTTGATTTTTTTTTTTTTTTTTTTTTTTTTTTGGTTAGAAAAGGGGCGAGGAAGGGTTGTCAGACCCGGGAAGGGGCCCGAGGTTCCCGATCTGCTGTGTGAGTCGTTGCATGGTGGGGTTATAGGAGACTCTGAGCCTGTTTTTCTAAGTTTCCACCCTTTGTTAGAAGCGGTTCAATCCTGTTTGGGACCAGTTCTGGGGGGTGGCGAGGAGGGGCGCTCCTCCAGCTCCGCAGATTGGCTGCACGCGTCAGGTGGTGGCGATGACTTAATTCCTAGACCGAGAAGAATATAGTGTTAGAGCCGGTTATGTAATTCTGAACTTCTCCTTTTTTAATGCGATGTTTAAGCTCTGGTGCGGGCTGTTCTCCAAAAGGAGAGCACATTTTTTAACCTTCGTTTCCAATCTTCAATGAGGCACATGCCTGAGGACGAGCTCGGGGAGCCAAAGCAAGTGTAGAGAGAAGGGATGCTTTCGGCCACAGCGTTGTTAATGCACGGATGGTGTTTTTTAAATATTAAGATGAAATCAGTTCTTTCCTTAGGGTTTCATTGCACACAGGCCATTTGCATCTTGACATATTTCTAGTTCATCTCCCCATGCAGTAACCCTGATAAAGAAGCGCCAATGTCTCATGACAGTCGTCCTGTTTATTGAAAAGCATAGACATGAGTTTGTCTGAACCTTTCTTGATATTATGCAGCTTTTTATAAAATGGTGGGAAGAAACAAAGGTGTTTTATATATATATATATAGAGAGAGAGAGAGAGAGAGAGAGAGAGAGAGAGAGAGAGATGAGACTGTAAGATTAACGACTTATGGGGACAAACACAATTTTGTTAGCTGCTCCATGATTTCATGGTAAAATAAACTATAGGCTTTTTTAACACCAAAGAAATACCCCTGAGCCTCTGCAAAGTGCAGGCGAGCTCTGAGCCTGGAATACTTTCAATGACTTAAAGCCGGGGCCTCTCACACAAGCCTGGTGACGGAGGCCCCGCCCCCGGCGGGCCGCGATAGGCGGAGCCGGGTTTGTTAGCCTGTTGCTAAGGCGATGCCGGCCTCTGATTGGATTGGGCGCCGGCGGTGGGGAGAGTGGGGCGCGCCCGCGGGGGCGGGGCTTGGAACCGGCGTGCGCCGGTAAAGGGCTCTCCGGGGCGGCCCCCCGCCCCTGCTCGCGCCCCTCCCCGGGCTTTGGGAGGGTGCCCGCGTCTCCCGTCACCTTCTGTCTCACCACCGTGGCCTGTTTGGGGGCCCGGAATACATGACTTGGGGTGTCAGGAGAGTAGATGCGAAAAGCTCCTGCTTAGCCTTTCCCAGTGCCGAGTGGCCCTGGGCGCAACTTGCGCTGCCAGTGCTCTTCGGAGGGGAGTTGGGTGGACAGGGTTCGCAGGAGCCCATCTTCCTGTTTTTGGAGAGGAAGGCGTCCGATACCTTCAGCGGACGCTCGTTTTCCTCTGAGCGAATGCAAAGCCTGTCTACCGACAGGTATAGACCGGCTCCCTTGGTCTGACCCCGGGGAGAGAGCGCGCCAAGGCTGGGCGGGGAGGGATGGAAAAGGGATGGTACCCTCCAAAGCCGGAGCGGGCCTCGGCGAGTATCCCTTCCCCCCACCCCCATCATTGTTTCCCCGGGGCGCCTGCTCCCCAGCTCCCACCCTGCACCGTCCCCCCCGGTCTCCGCTGATGCCATTGGGAAGGTGTCGGGGTTGGCCCGAGCCAGCTCGAACCGGTCACCGGCGGGGGCGTGTAAAACGGAAGCGCGGCGGCCGCCGGCTCCGCCCCCCCCCCCGGCCCAGCAGGCTAGGCTGCGCGTGCGCGCGCCCGCGCGAGCCGGAGACGTATGCCGTATGTATAGCGGGGCGCGCGGGCGGCGGCGCGCGGCGGCCGGCTGGGATCTGCTCGCGCCGGTTTAGGCCGGTCCTCTCCTGCTCCGCGCTGGTTCTTGATTGACAGCCCGGCACTTGTTTACCGCGGCGCGGCCGCCGCCGCTCAGGGAGACGGCTGAGCTGGCACCGAAAGGCGCGGAGGGGAGGGAGGCAGCCTTGGGGAGCTCTGGGGGCCCCCCCAGTTCACCAGCGGGGTTTTGGGGCTGAAATCCGTTCGGAGGCGGCGCCCAGGGGAACTAGTACAAGATAAAAGCGTCCGCACACAGGCGCGTTTCCCCGTGTTCCAAGGGAAGGGCCGCTTTTCCCGGTGTCTGCCCAGTCCCTGGGCGAGGGGGAGTAAAGGGATAACGGTAAAGATTTCTACGCCGAGGAAATTACCTGAATCTAGTTAGAACACACACACACACACAAAGTCATTTTAAAAATCCAGAATTCCCCCCACTCCCACTGTTCTTTTTTTGTTTTTGGGGGATTTTATTTATTTATTTATTTATTTTTGGTTTTTAATATGTTTGGAGACATGTTTTAAGTGATCTAGTTGAGCAAAAGAAATGGGTTTCTTAAAAGGAAAGGCTATCCCTCTCCTCAAGCCCCTGGCAGCCGCGGTCCGAGGACAGGCCCGGGGTGAGTGGGTGGCCCAATGGGCCGCCGCACCTCCTAAATAGGAGGCACGTTTTTTATACACAGTCACGTTTTTAGCTGCTGCTGGGACAGACTGGCTATGGTCATTTAAGGTGCAATAAAGAATCTGTGTTTTAAACTATGAAACTGACATTTAAAATCACTGCCTTTTTTTTTTTTTTTTTTTTTTTTTAGCTCCAACATTTAAGTTTCCTAATGGTTATGTTACTGTCACAGTCACTTCTGTATCGACTGGTTTTTAAAGGTGCACGTGAACAGTTCTGATTTTATATAACTAATGTGATAAATTCAAGAAAATAATTGGAGAGGCAGCTGACCTTAGCACTAAACAGGAGCGGAGTCCCCAGTGAGCGGGTTGTCCAATGGGCGCTGCCCAGTGCAGGCCATTTCGGCGGAGGGGCCCCTGGAGCGCCGGCCTGCACCGCCCATTGCACAGACAAGGCCGCTGGAGGCCCCGGGCGGGCGTTTCTTTTCCCCGGAGACGTGATGAAGTGGGAGTTAGAGCTCAGGCCTTGGCTATCCCGCCGTGCCACCTGCCGCGTGTGTGGAGGTTTAATAACGGGGGTTTTTGTTCCTTTTCTTTCTTGTGTTTTAGATGACGATAATTCCGAGGAAGGCTTCAACACTATTCCTTCAGGAAGGCATGAATATGCGTTCAGTTTCGAGCTTCCACAGACGTAAGTATTAGAAGGAACAGGCACTTTTCATAGATCATCCCTTTTTTTTTTAATTAAAATTATATTCTAAGTTTAAATTTTTTAGTTTAAAAAAAAAAACCCTTTTCATTACCGAATCTTGCTAGAGGAAAACAATGTGTTAAAAAAAAAAAAAGAGCTATTTTATAATGTAGTGTGGCAAAATTATAGAAGGCAAAGCTTAATTCTTAGTGCTCTGTCTCAAGATTTTTGAGGTTTTTAAAACTTGAATAAGATTTCATTTAACCTGAGTGAGTTGAAGCTGCCAGTCGAGTAGCTAAGCCCTGTATGCTTAGTTGACCATCAGCATTAGCAGGAAAGGTAAAAGGTAATAAGCCTCATAAGTCATTTATAAATATGCAGGCCGCTTTCTTTTCTGCTAATGTCAGCCGGCAGCGGTGAGCTAAGAACATAGACGCATTAGGAATATCCTGACGTTAGGAATGATGTGCTTTGGATATGAATTCACTAGCTTTTGTGCAAAGAGCTATTGAGAAGGTGACACAAGAGATATTATGACTTGGACTTGAAACATCCATCAGAGATACCTTAATATAAGGATTGGGATCTAATAGGAGAGAAAGATGGAAAAATGGTATAATCTTCATGTAATGAAAGATTGTTAGAAGAGATTATTCAATGTTTTTAAAATAATGCCTTAAACAGGTTATCCTGACAGGCAAAGTCGGATTTGTGATCATTGTTTTGGAGGATAAACTTTCAAGAAGAATTTATCAAATGCCAAATATACATAATTCTGTATCTTATCTGTAAAGCACTCATTTGAAATAAACTCTAAAAGACTAGCAAACTATTGCATTTTATTTCTCAGGGCTATGCAAATTAATGCAAGGCTCTAAAATGAAAAAAAAAATTGTTAAAAACGTAACTACTCATTCTAATTTAAGTTAGCACTCTACCTTGCAAATAACTGAAAACTGGGCATTTTTCTAATGAAATTATGAGAAAGAGACTAAACTCACTAAAATAAAATATTTCACAGTAATAAAATGGGCAAAATTGCAGGTTCTGATTCCCTTTATACAGGTGAATAGAAATGTTTCTTTTTCTTTAAGCCTATAGAGAAAAGTTTGAAAACAGCCAAAATAAAATATGAGGACACTGGGAAATATAAAATATTTTTAGTATTTCAGTGGACTTTATGAAATATGGAATTTTTTAAAACTATAATGACTATTGTAGGCCTTTTCTAGACCTTCTTAATTAGTTACTATAAAAAGATATTAACTCCTGGCAAATGAATAGAGAAGCACTATAGGGAATTTGGTCGGAATATTTAACTAGTGTCTATAATTTCTCAATAGAAATAGTAAACCATTCTTAACTTTATTTTAAATTAAGTTCTTGACCTTTTCAAGAACTATTAATTTCCAATTTTTCCATAATTTTGCCACCAACATTAAAAGTAGCTGCTTCTTTATTTAAAGAGATTGTATATTTCTGGCTTTTTAAAGCAAAATTTCTATAATGTTTACCAACTATTTGTTTTATTTGGAAACAAGACTTTTCCCCCAATGACTTATCCCTTTGGAAATTTTCAAAAATTATGTGTGATACCTCACTGGTATATAAACAGTACAATATTCTAACCTGCTGTGTAATTCTTAGAAAGAGGTATAATATTAATATATTGACCTTTATATTCTACACAGACCACTTGCTACCTCATTCGAAGGCCGACATGGCAGTGTGCGCTATTGGGTGAAAGCCGAATTGCACAGGCCTTGGCTTCTACCAGTAAAATTAAAGAAGGAATTTACAGTCTTTGAGCATATAGATATCAACACTCCTTCATTACTGGTAAGAATTGACTGAATTCTTCATTCTTTATTTTGGCATACGAATACTAAAGAATAATCACCTAAACTTAAGCTGTAATTTTATAATTTTAAAATAGTGGCTTTAGTTTAAAAATTCAACAAAATTAAAACAAAAAAATAAACCTGTTCCTTGGATACTTGTAGTACAAGAGGAACAGTAGTATTAATTACTATTTTAACACAATATCACTTACTTTGAAAATACCATAATGGATAATTCGTATTGCTTTCCATTATTCCAATGTAGGGATGTCAAATGATGGGGAGATTATCACTTTCTTCAAAAAATTTAATTTCATCTTAAAAGAAATCCTTTTTAATTGTATTTTTTCCACAAGATTCAAATTTAACTTCAAAAACATTGTTTTAAACAAATGATAACATCTTTAATAAGCAAGTAAGAATTTTTTTAAAACGTGCAGTTTTCCCTTTTTTACACATTAATTTTCACATTCTCAAAGAAAGATGTTAGCATTTGGGATTTATAACCAAATTGCTTTCCAAAGCTACATTTTTATTTAAAGCAGTTTAATAAACTGGAATGTGGAAAGGGTTTTTTTTGTTTGTTTGTTGGGTGGGTTTTTAATTAATATATATAACGGGCTAAAATGGTGTTTATGGTGTTAAGCCTTGCACCCTTTTTCCTTAATTGAATAGAAATTTATATAAAAACAAATATAATTCAGATCCATTGGTTAGTAAATATATATATTTGGCTACCAACAAAAAGCAGCACTGCTTTTAATTTTTAAATCTCCAAGAACTTAAATTGTATTTTAAAACATTACTCTCCCAACTCATACATTGATCTTTTTGTCTAAATTTATTTCTTACAGTCACCCCAAGCAGGCACAAAAGAAAAGACTCTCTGTTGCTGGTTCTGTACCTCAGGCCCAATATCCTTAAGTGCCAAAATCGAAAGGAAGGGCTATACCCCAGGTACGTATGAAGTGGATTCCCACAATAAAACAATATTTTTTCACTTAGCTTTTATGTTTATATTTATAGTAAATGCATTCTGTGGTAATATAACAAGCTGTGCTTATCCAGTTTTCTTTCATAAATTGAAACTTAAGTCTCCTTTACTTTTATTTTTTATTGATTGATTGTTTTTTTTTTTTTTCTTTTTTAGAAAGAGAGAAACATCAATTTATTGTTCCACATATTTATGCATTCATTGGGTGCTTCTTGTATATGTGCCCTGACTAGGGATGGAACCCAATACCTTGGCATATCGGGGCAATGCTCTAACTATCTGAGCTACCCAGCCAGGGCCTCTCCTTTTTAAAAGAGCTACTGTAGTTCATTTTTATAACTCTTAGGACAGCTTTTCATCCATGTAGTCTGCTGAACTTTCCAGCGTTAGCCTAAGAATCTGCATTAGTTTTGAGGCTTTTGTTTGTTTTATTTTGTTTTCTTAACTAGATAATTTTTTCCCTCT